TAAATAATTACACTAATATCATTCCCCGAGGATCGGTTTTCTTTTGGGCTTACGTATTCTACCTTTCCAAGATTCTTGAATTTATAGACACCCTTTTAATAATCCTTAGTAGCTCAAGATCTAGACGGCTCTCGTTCCTTCACGTGTACCACCATGCAATGGTGCCACTTTTGTGTTACATGACTATAAAAAATAGCCAGTCGATGTTGCATATCGGGGTGATCACTAATGCTTCTGTTCACGTACTAATGTACGCTTATTATTTCCTATCTGCTATAGGAAAAAGGCCGTGGTGGAAAAAACTGGTCACTGACGTTCAAATTGTGCAGTTCATGTTTTGCTTTGTGTGTTTGGGTGCAGTGATATACTATCACTTGACTAGTGAGTTTGGGTGCTCTGGAATTGGTGTCTGGTTCTTCACTATCAGTTTTAATGTTTCACTTTTAGCACTTTTTCTCAACTTTCATTTCAAGACGTATGCCAATAACGTCAAGAAAAACCGTGAGGATAAGCTGGATAAACAAACATAATACTATTGTATTGTTTTACTTTTATATGCCTTGGAAGTATATCCACATGTATTCATAAATAAGAATCCACGATTTACTGGAGTGATATTTAAGGAGGTTATTTACTTTAATGTTAGATTGAACTTTCTTATGATTTCATAAAGGTTTAAATGCTTAGTTGCATTTATATATTTTCTAACTAGTTATTGGATATTGTGTGTTGCATGTCTGCTCTATATCATATTTGATATGAGAAATTTTGATATTTATAAATATAAAATAGTGACAGCCTACATATTTTGAAAATAAAAGCTTGAGTCATTTCCACTTACCCCCGAAAACAATCGTTCGAGTCGTTTTTATATTAAAGTGATATTTTTTAGAGTCAGGATAATAGACGACGCAGCCAAATAAAAAAGAAAAATTAAATGATTCATTTTCCAGTCTAATTTAAACATTTCCCCTAACCCGGCCTTCTTTTAATTATTTGTTTGATCATCTTTTACCACCTTAACAAAACAACAAGTGGAAGCTTCCAACGTCCCAAATAAATAGAGTTATATATTATTCTATCATAATACGTAAATGCTTATTTAACACATCAGTTTCACTACTTAAAAATATTTTTCAACACTTCAAGCTTATCAACTATTTATCATCGGCTAACACAAACGGGCTCATAATCTACAACTTAATTATTCTATTAGTTATCAGTAAACATAGATTATATTTTTAGGGGTTTGGATAAAATGAAGAAATTATCCTACCACCAAAATTAATTTCATGACTGGACTTGAAATAAGGAAATTGAAAAAGATAGAAAACTAATCAAGAATATATATCATCCGACTCTAGCAGCAGGTGGCTGCCGTCATCAGAGAGATCTTCAAAATTGACCTATGACGTAAACACGCACACTAGGACAAAAAATTTACTTTGGAATAGAAAACTCATGTAAATCATAAGGAACTATGGTTTCACCAAAATATGGTTTATGAGTAACTAGTAAGGGGTTTTAATGCATGGATAAATGAAGTCATGTACCGGATAAATTACGTACAATAGACCCTTATGGTTCGACTTTTTTTTGGATTCCGTGCATAGCGGGAGCTTAGTGCACCGAACTATTTTTTTTGCCGGACAAATTAACTTTTTCTATCCAAATAATAAATTGGTTAAGATGACCATTGCTGCATGTTTTCCGTTATAAACTTAGGATACTTTACATGCTTCAAATGCACATCTAAAAAACTGAATAAAATACAAGACTTTTAGTAACTATATATCTACCTAGACAAACAAGAAACTGAAATAAAAACGTTGTCATCTGGTGGCAGTGGTGCAAATATTCTTCTGAAATAACGAGATTCTTATTCTTAAGAAACTATGCTTGGTAAAGGAACAAGAAATTCATATGTATTAATTAATAATTATCACAGTATAATGCATCATTAGAGCTTCATGGCTGTCAAAAATCCATAAAAGGTTGTTTACCCGAAAAATTGATAGAGTTGAATTTGTACGTAGTTCTAAGGGTATGTGATATAACTTGACACAAATCTTAAGAGTAAATAGAAATATCGAATATTGACTATAAAGAATGAAAAATAAGCAAAGTTGAAAAGATGATGATTTATGGATTAAGCAAGATGAATCAATCTATGAAGCTAAAAAAGATAATTCTTCAATATGGGGTGTATAATATCTGAGTTACAATGTATGTCAAAAACTTATCCTTTTACAGAAATATAGCCATCCCTTTTATAGTGGGCGATCCTACTTTAGACATAATTAAAAATACATAGTGGAGAACCCATGATAAATCAGCATTTCCCATTTCCCGCAGAGATTCTCTCCCTTAGTGCGGCTGCAACAGCTCTTGTCTATGAGCTCGATCCTGATCGGACTCGGTATTGGTCAATATTGGTCGGTTTCCAGCTTTGGAGCTCGACGCGAGTTTGAGGTCGATGCTGACTCGGGGTCCGGTAATGACTTGGGCTCGGTATTTGTTGGCCTCTGACCTTTAAGCTCGATTCCATCATATCTCATCATAGTTCGATTCAGACCCGAGCTCGATAATGACTTCGAGCTCGGTATTTGACTTGTACCTGAAATCTGAAGCTCGTTTGTGACATCTTCGAATCCACTTCGATTTTATGAAGACTTTCTTCGGTCCATTATGATCATATCTCGATCAATCGTACGAAGGCCGAAATCAGTTTCGACCGTATACAGATAGTTCCCTCGTTTCTCGGGAAGGATGTGGCGAGAAACGATATGATTTTCCAACGACTCGATTGGATATGCACTGATGTTCGCATCGAGCCCGACCATGACGTATGTGATAGATGTCCCGTCGGTTCAATTTTCCAAGGCATTTAAGTGTGTCAGACGGTGGTCGACCACCGCTGATGTTGAACCGCCATTTGCTCAATCTATAAATAGCCCCTCATTTTATTATTTATCACTTTTACATCTTCAATCTCCAAATTTTTCAAGTTCTTCTTCTGAGTTCATCTGCAAATCTGTGATTTTTTACTGCAAAAATCTTTCTAAAAAAAACATTGAATCTTTGTTACCTCCTTCTATTTTTTATCTTTAAATCCAAAATGGCTAAAACATCAAAAACCATTCCTCAGAAAGAAAAAGCTTCTTCTTCATAGCCTGCCGTCGACAAAACACTAGTGGAACCACGGCCTGAGGAGTGCATTCCTGTGGTGTGTGTTCTTACCTCTGATTTTAAGGTCGACAAAACCTCGTCGGTTCCCGGCCAATATGAGCCAGTATCGAGGTATATGTATTTGATAACCAAGGGGCACCTCGAACAGCTAAAGAAAGATTACAATTGGGAGAACAAAGAAATAGTAATCCCGTCTCCTGAAAAAGATATCACCACTTACGTGAAATAGTTTTTAAGTGTGTATACTTACCCTTTCACGTTAGGTCCCTTCGACCTTGTTATTATTGATTTCTGTCGTCAATACCAAATAACCCTAGGCCAGATCCATCCTTCTTTTTGGCAGATCGTTATTTTGATCTGTTACTTCGTGAACAAAATCGAGAGGATGCCTTTCACCCTCGACCATCTCATTCGATTGTACTGTCCTCGCCTCTTTCGAGGCGGGTTAATAAAACTTCAGTGCCGGGCTACCAAGGTTCTGTTGTCGAGCATAAACGAGGACATGAATCGAGGCTGGATGGGCATGTTCGTTCGAGTGAAGACTTCGGACCTGATTCCGACTGAATAGATGTCATTTCTCGAGGAGTGGAACATGAAGCGTAAGGTTCTGATGCAGTGGTTCCTTGGATGTCCGGTGCAGTTCCCGACCTCAAAAACTGGGTACGGGATTTAGCTTCGACCTCCACATATGCCGAGAGCTCATGGCGTGATTTGTCAAAGGGCCGATGGGAGGCCAAAAACCATGGTAATCCTCTTTCTCGTATCTTTGGTAGATCCAACGAGATACTTTCCATATACTAAAATAAATTTTCTTGTATGTAGGTGTTGGAAAAGATGCGGTTTTGAGGCCCCCACCCGTCGAGGAAGAGGCTTCGATCTCTGTTCCAAAACCGGTGAAGGATAATAAGAGAAAAAGGGTCTCTACTTCCGAAGATCCAAAACCGAAGACGAGGACGGCTCGTAAGCCGAGGAAGAATACCATCCCTTTAACCATGGAATCAGTTCTGCATCTAAGGGATGAAGACGAGGAAGAAGAAGAAGAAGAAGAAAACAACGGGTCTGTGCTGGTGGCCCGAATAAAGAAAACCATCGATGCCCCAAAGGTAGTTGCATCGATGGTGATATATAAAGCTCCATCTCGGACTGAGGAGATATCGGAGGAAGGTTCAGGTAGAGTCCCCAAATCGTTAGAGATAGAGGATGCTTCCCAGTGAAGTCAACAAACAATGGGTATATCTGAAGGGGCCGGTCCTGAAGCTCTCCGAACTGAGGAGAACGCCCCAAGCGAGTCGCTTGGGGCAATAGTAATCGGAGACTCGCCCACTCTCCCTGCCTTTTCCGAAGGGGCAATTCGGGAAGCCCAAGCTTTGGGGGCCCTCGAGGTAGACGTGTCTCATGAGGGAGAGGACCCTTTTCATGATCTGTTTACCGGTGTAGAGGATGTTGCCAGTACTAGTGATGTATCAGATCTTTTCCATGGAGTATAGCAGGCTTTGAATCGGGTAAGCCTTAACTTACTTCGTTGGTATTTTATTCATGTTTGTTTTTCTTTTCTGACTTCATTTTTTCTTTCTTCGTAGGCTGCAGCGATTCATCGAGAAGCATGTTCTCGGTCTCGAGTCGAACTGCGTCGATATGAGGCCGACCTTTAACGGGTTACGGAGGAGAGGAACGCCCTTAAACTCCTCTTAGGGCAAAGGGGGGAGGAAATCAAGGACCTCCGAGCTGAGTTGGCCAAGGCTCACCAAGATCAGACTGATCTGACCGAGTAGGTAATGATATTATTAAAAGCCTATGGGCTCGATACTGGAATGGTGGCTAATAGTTCGGTCTCACAGCTGCAGCAAAAGCTTGAGATGACCGGGAAGCTCCGTGAGGAGATCGATGTGATAAATGTGGAGTCCTTGAAGTGGAAAGAAAGTATGGACCGCTTTGATGCAGAGAAAGAGGCTGCTCGAGCCCAATTATCATCAACTGAAGGTTAACTTCAAGGTCTGAAGGAGAAAAGCTCAGTTCAAGCATGAAAAATAGAGGAGCTCGAGACTCGGTTGGCCTCTCAACTTGCCAAGGCCGAAAAATCAAAAATCGATGCAGATGCATTCGTGGCCGTTTATCGAGCCGATACCAAAGCCGCTCAGGTATAGGCGAGAGAGGCAGCAAAGACCGCTCAAAATCGAGCATATTGGATTGCTGAACTCGTTAAATGCCAATCTCGAAGGTAAACCCTCGAGGAGATCCATGCTCGAGGCTTCGATCTTACTGAAGAGATAAAAAAGGCTAAAAAGTTTGAAACCGATACTGGTGTCTTGGCCTCCGATGATGACGATGACGATGACGATGATGATGATGATGATGATGGGAGCAATAGCGGGTCTGAAAGTGGGGAGGAGACCGATGGAGAAGAGACTGTCCCGGGAGATAATTAGGGTTTTTCTTATTTTGATTTTTCATGCAGGGTCCTTATCCGACGTTGTAAATATTATCATATATATAAAGGTTTTTTCCTTTCTATATTTTATTTTCTGCCTTGTAAAGATTTCATTCTTGCCTTATGAAAAATGTTCATAAGTTTTGAGGCTTTAGGCAATTTTGATCGAACTCGGACTTTTGTAGTCTTTATAACCGAGCGAGTGCTTGCTCGAACTCGAAGTACGAGTGGCCCTTAGGCTTTATAGTCGAGTGAGTGTGTAATGACCCAACCGGTCATTTTAACTTTTAGAAAACCTTTCCCTAAAATAAAATTCTCCAAACATACTTTTATTAATTTATGACTCACGAGGATGGTTGGTTCGGGATTTTGGAAGTATGTGGGTTAAAATCGAAACACTTGGTTCCTTAAGTTAGCTTTAAATGGACAAGTTTGACTTCGGTCAATATTTTGAGAAAATGACCCCGGAATCGTTATTTGACGGTTCCAATAGGTTCATATGATGATTTTAGACTTGGGCGTATGTCCGAATTGGGTTTTGGATAACCCGGGAGCGTTTTGATGCTTAATAGTAAAAATCAACTATTTGAAGGTTTAAAATTCTTTAAATTTGCTTTGGAGTAGGATTTTGAGTAATTGAAGTCTGTTTGGAATTCCGAGTTTGGGAATAGTTCCGTATAGTGATTTAAGACTTGCACACAAATTTTCGTGTCATTCCGAGTAGTTTAAGTATATTTCGGCGCATTGGAAGTAAATTTAAGAACTTGAAATTCTTAAGTTTGAATCAATTTGGTTTAGGGTATGATTCTTAGATTTGATGTTGTTTTACGCATTCCGAGAGTTTGAGCGAGTCCGTTTTATGATTTCAAACCTATTGGTACGTTCGGACGGGGCCTCGAGAGTCCCGAGTGTTAACCGGACGAGGCTCTGACCAATTTTGGAAAATTGAGCAAGGACTGAAGCTCCCAGCTACTATCATAATCGCACTTGCGCTTGGACAGCCGAAGGTGCGAGCCACCAATCACAGCTGTGAAGGAGAGGAGCCTGCCCAGCCATCGCAGTGCGAGGTATTTTGGCGCACCTGCGAACGCGCAGGTGCGAAGGCCTGGTGCGAAGGAATGGGCGCACCTGCGCTTGCGCAGAAGCGAGCACTTCTTCTGCAGGTGCGGAACCAGGAAAAGAGAGAATATGCGCACCTGTGAGGAATTTTCGCAGGTGCGAAAGCCGCATGTGCGGTACCTCTTCCGCAGGTGCGAAAATCACTATTGGGCAGAATGGTTAAAAGTCGAGGCTCGGACATTTTGAGCCCATTTTTCCTCCATTTCCGAGCGATTTCAGAGCTTTTGAGAAGGGGGTTTCAACTAGCAATTGAAAGGTAAGTTAATTCCACACCCCTTGAGTTAAATACATAGATTATAGGTGGATTATAACTAGTAAATCTTAGAAATTAAAGATTTAGATGAAAAATCTAGTTTTTTTATAAAAGTGAGATTTTAACCACGAAAATAGTTATGGAATTGGGTAGAAATTATATATTTAAGTTTTTGAGATTATGGGTAACGTTTTCATCCGAAAATTTTCAGAATCCGAGCACGTGGGCCCGGGGTGAAATTTAAGAATTTTACCATTTTGGATAAGGTAATTTATTTAATAAATAAATTTCGAATCATTTAGCATATATTAATTATTGTGTATAATATTTGGATAGTTTCGGATCTTTCGGCGTCGAATCAAGAATTCAACGCGAGGGGAAAATTACTCCATAGGGATTAAATTGAATAATTGTTACTAATTGCGGGGGCTACATATGCACGAGGTGACGAGAGTCCGTGCGTAGCTACTATTAATGCTAAAGTCCGGGTAGTTTAGGACTCAAAGCATGAATTACATGTGTACATTGTATTCTTTGTTTAATTAATATTAATTGATATATATGAATATATTGTGAATTGTCAGATAAAGATATTAAAGGACGGAAATTTCATATGCTTGATTTTCTGTTTAAATTAATTAATTGTTAAAAAAAATTGTTCTTCCTCCCGAATTTGTCTTATAATAAATATACTCTCCTTCCGGAGGTACATAAGAAAATGTCCTTCTTTCTTGTGGAGTGGACCGAATCCCTCGGCAGGATCATTCATCTATGGATCACGTCGTACGTCCCTCGANCGTTCTGCAGCTACTAGTGTCTCTCCTTGTATTTTTCATTCTGTCTATTTTTATTTCAGACAATATTTGAGATTTTGTATAATCTACTAGATGCTCATTCACTTGTGACACCAAGTCTTGGCACACACATTGGTAGAATTTGGTGTTTTATTATTTTTTTGGTTTTAAATTTTGTCAATATATGCTTAATTTATTAAGTTGGCTTGCCTAGCTGTAGTGTTGGGCGCCATCACGACCTATAGATGAAATTGAGTCGTGACAACATTGTATCAGAGCACTAGGTTTACGTAGGTCTCACAGGTTATGAGCAGGCCAAATAGAGTCTTGCGGATCGGTACAGAGACGTATGTACTTATCTTCGAGAGGTTATAGGGTGTTAGGAAATTATCTTTCTTCATATTCCATCGTGAAATTGATGTAGTTCTAAATATCCTTCTCTTATTCTCTCTCAGATGGTGAGAACGCGCTAGAATGAGGTTCCAGGCCAGGGAAGAGCTACTCCCCCAGTTGCTAGAGGCCGAGACAGAGGCCGAGGGAAGGCTCCAGCCCGTGGTAGAGGGCGAGAACGTCCTAGTACTATTCCAATTATGCCGCCAATGGGTCCAACAGATAACCCCATTATTGAGGAACAGGATGAGGTGCATGTGGTAGAGCCAGCTCCGGTGGATTTCACATCTGCACCGGGATTTTAGGATGTCATTGGTCATATGCTGCGGTTCATAGACAATATAACTCAGGCCGATTTATTTCCGGCAGACCTAGCCACATCTCAAGCGGGCGGGGGAGCACAGACCCCTACCGCACAGGCTCATGGACATGCAGCTGCTGTATATCAGACCCAGGGTGCACTACCCGTGGGTGGAGCCCAGCCAGTGGCAGCAGCTACACCTGAGCCTAGGCCAGCTGTAGCCGCCGATCCTCAGAAACTATTGGACCGATGGACTAGACTACATCCTTATATCTTCGGGGGTGAGCGACATGAGGATCCACATGACTTCATTGATCGTTGCAGGGACAGATTGCACAACATGAGGATATTGGAATCTCATGGGGTTGACTTCACTACTTTTCAACTAGAGGGCAGGGCCTGTAAATGGTGGCAGACTTATGTTCTTGGCAGACCAGCAGATTCTCCTCCAATAACTTGGGACAGGTTCACATGTATCTTCCTGGACAGATATATTCCACCCTCCTAGAGGGAAGAGTTGCGGTTTCAGTTTGAGCAGCTCCATCAGGGTCAGATGTCAGTGACCGATTATGAGGTGATGTTTTCTGAATTATCTCACCATGCACTTATGATACTCCCTACTGAGGCAGATAGAGTGCGGAGGTTTGTAGCCGGTTTACATACTGGCATACAGGACACTATGGCTCGAGAGGTTGAGATGGGTACTTCTTATGAGCTAGTTGTGGAGATAGCCCGTAGGATTGAGGGTGTGCGTCAGGGAGCCGAGAGCAGATTGTGAGAGATAAGTGGTTCAGGTACTCTGGAGAGTTTAGAGGTGCTCCATCTAGGGGCAGAGGTCAGTTCGTGAGGGTGCAGTCCAGCAGACCCCCATTTCCAACACCACCACCTCCTCGGGGTACTCCAATGCGACCTTATCTCAGTGTTATACCAGAGACTTCTTACCACCCACCATCTATTTAGGGTCCTCCCAGTGGGTATTCAGGTCCCCAGGGCCAGACTCTTAGTCAGCAGCCCATCGCACCGAAGAGTTATTACGAGTGCGGGGACCCCAGTCACATGCGGAGGTTTTGCCCCAGGCTTCGGGGTAGACCAGTACAGTAGGGTCAGCAGCCTGTGCTTACCGGACCAGTTGCTCTACCAGTAGTCTGACCACCAAGAGGTGGAGGACAGGTGGATAGGGGGCGTCCTAGAGGTGGAGGTCAGCCAGGCGGAGGCCAGCCAGTTGGCACTCCATCTCGGTTCTATGTTTTTCCGGCTAGACCAGATGCAGAGGCCTCAGATGTTGTGATTACATGTATTATTTCTGTTTGCAACAAAGATGCCTCAGTATTATTTAATCCAGGATCCACGTATTCATATGTGTCATCTTTATTTGCTCCATTCCTGGGTGTTTCTCGTGAGTCCTTGAGTACTCTTGTTTATGTGTCCACTACTGTAGGTGATTCTGTTATTGTGAACCGGATCTACCGGCCTTGTATTATTACATTTTGTGGTTATGAAACTAGAGTAGATCTCTTATTGCTCGAGATGACCGATTTTGAAATTATTCTGGGTATGGACTGGTTATCTCCATATCATGCTATTATAGATTGTCATGCCAAAACCGTTACCTTGGCTATTCCATCTTTGCCTAGGCTGGAGTGGAAGGGTTCGTCGGTTAGTTCATTTAATCGGGTTATTTCTTTTATAAAGGCTCAATACATGGTTGAGAAGGGTTGTTTGGCTTTCTAGCCTTTGTTCGGGATACTACTACAGAGACTCCGGCTATTGATTCGGTGCCAGTAGTTCGGGAGTTCTCCAATGTATTTCCTTCAGATCTTCAAGGTATGCCACCTGATCGGGATATTGATTTCTGTATTGACTTGGCTCCAGATACTCAGCCTATATCTATTCTATTGTATCGCATGGCTCCGAAAGAATTGAAAGAGTTGAAAGAACTGCTTGAAGAGTTACTAGCTAAAGGGTTCGTCGGACCGAGTGTATTGCCTTGGGGTGCCCCAGTATTATTTGTGAAGAAGAAAGATGGCACAATGCGAATGTGTATTGACTATCGCCAATTGAACAAAGTTACTATTAAGAACAAGTACCCATTGCCACGTATTGATGGCCTATTTGACCAGTTGCAGAGTGCTAGGGTGTTCTCTAAGATCGACTTGAGGTTGGGGTATCATCAGTTGAAGATTCGAGATTCGGATGTTCCAAAAACCGCTTTTCGTACTAGATATGGTCATTATGAGTTTCTGGTAATGTCTTTCGGTTTAACTAATGCCCCGGCATCATTTATGGATCTGATGAACATGGTATTCAAGCTATATATTGATTTGTTTGTCATTGTCTTCATTGATGACATTTTGATCTACTCGCGCAGTAAGGAGGAACATGAGCAGCATATGAGAGTAGTGCTTTAGACATTGCGAGAACAAAAGCTATATGCTAAGTTCTCTAAATGTGAGTTTTGGCTAGAGTCTGTAGCATTTTTGGGACATATTGTATCGGGCGAAGGTATTAAAGTTGATACCAAAAAGATTGAGGCAGTTCAGAATTGGCACCGACCCACTTCGGCGACTGAGATTAGGATTTTCTGTGTTTAGCAAGTTATTATTGTCGGTTTGTAGAAGGTTTTTCATCTATTGCAGCACCTTTGACCAAATTAACCCAGAAGGGTGTTCAGTTCCGATGGTCCGATGATTGTGAGTCAAGCTTTCAGAAGCTCAAGACAGCATTGACTACAGCACCAGTGTTAGTGTTACCTTCCGGTTCGGGAATGTATACAGTGTATTGCGACGCTTCACGCGTTGGTTTGGGTTGTGTATTAATTTAGGAATGGTGAGTTATTGCATATGCTTCACATCAGTTGAAGCCCCACGAGCAGAATTATCCTGTACATGATTTGGAGTTAGCTGCGATTGTTCACGCCCTTAAGATTTGGAGGCATTATCTTTATATGGTGCCTTGTAAAGTTTATACTGATCATCGTAGTTTGCAGCATTTGTTCAAGCAAAGGGACCTAAATTTGAGGCAGTGCAGATGGCTAGAATTACTAAAAGATTATGATTTTACTATCCTATATCATCCAGGTAAAGCAAATATAGTTGCAGATTCCTTGAATAGAAAGGTGGAGAGTATGGGTAGTTTGGCTTTCATTTCAGCAGAAGAGAGGCCATTAGCTTTGGATATCCAGTCCTTAGCCAACAGAATTATGCGGCTAGATAGTTCAGAGCCCAGCCGAGTTCTTGCATGTGTCGTAGCTCAGTCTTCACTATTTGAGCAGATCAAGGCTCGCCAGTATGATGACCCACACTTAATAGTTCTTCGAGAAACGGTACTACGAGGTAGTTCCAAGGAAGTTACTATTGGTGTGGATGGTGTTCTGCGACTCCAGGATCGTCTGTGTGTTCCTAATGTGGATGAACTGAGAAAAAAGATCTTGGATGAGGCATAGTTCTCGGTATTCTATTCATCCAGGTACTACGAAGATGTATCGTGACTTGAGGCAACATTATTGGTGGCGACGAATGAAAAAGGACATAGTTGAGTATGTAGCTAGGTGTCTAAATTTCCAGCAAGTTAAATATGAGCA